CCACAATTGTTTGGCCAACATGGCTAAATTGAACTCCCGAAGGGTCACGCCCCAGACCGCGTCTGTGCCACGTGGACAACCGTCGTACAACCTAATAAGAATAAACGCAGTTCATCCTCACCGAATTATACAACACGTCCGATAGATACATATGCCAAAACCGATTAGTAAACATGCATAACAACACCCACATACAATCAAACACATAACGGAATATACGTGTTTAATAAGAACCCACACAAGGGTAAAACAAGAGCTCGTAGGCTCCATTAATTTATAAGTGAAAATAGCTCCATGAGCATTATTTAATTATTTAAAAATAGAACGAGAGTGATGGAGTATATTCCCATATACCCCAGGGGTATCATAATCGCCGGTAGAGAGCACTGCGGGTCCATCAAAGGCGCAAAAATACTAAGTCCACAGTCCAAGACTGACCCCGACTCCCGAGGTCGGGAAAACACCAAGCTCAGGAACTAGCCGGACTCGGCGGATAAAGACGTCGATCGGCCCCCGACCCCGACCCCGAGGTCGGAAGAACATCAGGCTCAGGGATCAACCGAACTCGACAAATTATGAGCCCGACCTCGATGCACCCGAGGTTAGTACCAGGTCAGACCCCAGAAGTTAAACATTTGGTCAACGATAGTCAAGCACCAGGCGGTCAATTACCTCTGAGGTAGGGACATGAGCCCGAGTTCCCAGATATTGGCCTCAGTGATCCCCAAGGTCGGGATAAAGCGTCATGTACTTAGACATAATCCACAAGGATCTATCTCGCAAGGAGACACCGCCACGTCACCCCCCTGCACCTGAAGAATACTTCAAAATTATCCACGTGCGGTTACAGGAAACTTCTGGCAGAAAATCTGTTAGAAGAATAATCAATCAGCCAGCTATCAAAGGTTCTCTCTCCAATCAACTTTACACGTGGCTGCCTCCCATCAAATTAGGCTGTTAGTTTGTTAAAGTAGCTTTACACGTGTCCCCTCCCATTAGACTAGCATCTTTGGCTTGGCCACCAAGTATTTCTCCTTTCTCCTTAGTATAAATCTCACCTTCCAACTTGTGGAAATGGATGCTTAATATATTGCACTCTTGAGACTTATACACTGAGATTTTACCAATTTACGATCTGTACTTTCCGATCAGTTCACTCTCCCTTCTACTCTCATTTTCGGTGGATTCCGGCCACCCCTGGTCCGACGATCCATCAGAGAGGAAGCACGAACCACGTCTTCTCTCCATCGATCTCCCGAGCAACGAGTGTAGGAAGTAAGCTCTAGCTTCAACCTGAAAGGGTGGTTCTCTTGAGGGATCAGTACTACAGAAAAGTACTGGCGAGGGCAAACTGTATGTAATGTAACTAACGTTTCTCACGTGAGACCCTCAAAGTAGGGTGATAGTATAATTATGGGCATAACTCTTAGCTACCCCTTTTCAAAACAAAATGTATACATATATACATATGAGTAAAATATCCGGCCCGTGGGCCCATTTGTCTTTCAAATCATGTAGGCGTAACAGCCTCATTAAATTCACTCTTCCCATGTCTTACCCTCGAGTGGAGTCACCCGCAGGCTAACTCACCTGATATCAAAATATAATTACTGTGGGGGCCCTTCGGACCTCCATATCACGGACATGGTTTAAATCAATTCCTAGACCAAGGAAAATATCCTATTGGAAACTCGTTCCCGATCAAACACATTTAATCATTTGAAATCATTAACTTGAGGTTCACCTATGGCGAGGACTATCCATCCTTGCTATCATAGTTTTCATTTCCGGGTTAACCCTGCCTTGAGAAGTACGCATACACCCTCATCCTATGTGTAATTTACTGGAGGTTAATGACGTGCACTTGTCGTGGTGTGCACTCAAAATAAATATACAATACAACACTTATACGTAGTATAGCGTAGTAAGGTTCGTATCCACAGGGAAAGGAATACTTTTCTTTTATAGAACTAGTAACAAAATGGGGGGTTTTAGTTTGAGTAAATGAACTTAAATTATATTTAAACACGAAGATGAACGAGTTATGTGGTTTAATTAATGAGAAGAAGACTTGGCTTTGCTTTTATCCACTTAATGAAATGTTCGTCGATCCCGGTTATATCTTTAACTATCTTCCTCTTGAATACTCAATCGAGGAGTATATCCAGTTCATCGAGGGTAGTTATTAATAACGAGATGCGTTCATTAATAAAACTTACTATCGAGTCAATATAGGACAAGCGCCGTATATTAACTTGATAGTAGCAATAAACTTAAGATGAAAATGATTGAGATTGATAACCTCAACACAAGCGGTTTATTGGTTTAATCCATATAAATAATTCCCCTTAGATTATTAACCATGAGAAGCATGCGTTAACAATCCAAGTTTACTACCATTGAAAGAACCGAATTAATAACAAGCGTATTAACCGATTGATTCTAGTAATAATTAATGTATAGAACAAGACTAGTTGATACTTCAAGTAATGTTCAATATATTAATATGGGATATGAATAGGAAGTAATTAATATTCAAGGAAGAAGATTAAAGAAAATAACTCACAACTTACAAATCATTAAGCTTCAAAGTAGCAAAACCAAGATGGAAGAGTTTAGCTCCTCATTTGGAGACTAAACATGATAAAAATATAAAGAAAGAACTTGTCTAAACTGAGCTTAGAAGTATATAGGAATTGGTGATTTCTTATGGAGGAAATGGGGTGTATTTATAGGCTTTTTAGGCCGCAGGGTCGTGTACTCGATCGAGTATATAGGGTACTCGACCGGGCCTTCAGTTGCTTCGCGGAAGCTGGAAAAACATGGACATACCCGATCGGGTATGTCGGCTACCCGATCGGGTATAGACACCCGATCGTGGTTAAAATCTTCCCTGCACATTGCCTTGTTCGCAGATTTATCTGATTTGATTTTTCAGCAACTTACCCAATCGGGTATAGGGTATACTCGACCGGGTACAACACCAAAAATCAGGATCTTCATTTTGTTTTGGAATTTTTGCACCTTCCTTCCACTTGTGATGTTCACCAATGGTCCCTAGGGTGGACTTGGACCTGTTTGAGCTCAGAACAAACCTAATCTAAACAATTTACAAACATATTACAAACTAAACTATTACACCAAAAGTGTGTAATTTCTAGAGTAACAATCACTCAAAACTAATCAAAAAACACAAATATAAACATGGAAATAACATGAATGTCAGTTAACACACCTTAAGGACTACACGGGCCCTGGTTACCTATGTGTAATTTGATGGACGTTAAACACACCTCAAGGACTACACTTGCCCTTGTTACCTATATTCAATTTGATGGAGGTTAACTCACCTCAAGGACTGCATTTGCCTTTGTTACCTATGGGTAATTTACTGGAGGTTAAACACACCTCAAGGACTACACTTGCCCTTGTTACCTATGTGTACTTTACTGGAGGTTAAACACACCTCAAAGACTACACTTTCCCTTGTTACCTATGTGTACTCTACTGGAGGTTAAACACACCTCAAGAAATACACTTGCCCTTGTTACCTTATCTTGTCGTGCAAGTTCTTTAACAATATAGTTTGTATCATCATACTCAAATCAACTTAGGGCTAACCTTTATCAAGGCTTCCCGTCTACCCCAAACCATGAATGGACCGCTCCGGGTCCAAGTCATGCTCAGACAACTAGTGTCGGGTCCCGCCAGAACCCGAATTACTAATTGAGACATTTAAACTTAACAATTACATTACCGACATTTGTCGTGATAACCCTCGGTCAACTATAGGTCAAATATAATTTTAAAGTTGGTACCCAACTTAAGCTATCAAACCACGGGCTAGCCTCGCACCGACTACCCGCTCGAATTCATTGTTTGGAATTAAGTAGCTCCGACCAGCGCCGGACATTTCCCAACCGGCGTCGGACATAGGCATACATTGCTCGGAAAACCGGTCCAGCCGGCGCTGGACATCAGTCCACCGACGCCGGACTTACTTCATTTGGCCGGCAAAAACTCACGTAACCGGCGCCGGACCTGTGACAACTGGCGCCTGTCATCTCTGTTCTAGATGGCCAAATTGCTTGTTTTGGACCGGCGCTTCTCAACCGGCGCAAAAATCACCCAACCGGCGCCGGACCTAGTCCAACCGGTGTCGGTCAACGCCATAACATTTTGGTCAACGCCCGTTTGACCATCCAAACGGGGTCCGATTTCCACGAAATTTTATTCACTTATACAACAAGTCATTCTTAGTCCACTAATATCATTTTGGATGTCCAGATCATCACACATGATTTATAATCATTTTCTATCCAAATTCAAGCATATTAAGTATAGTTATTAATACTATTAATAAGTAAATCTTGCCTTAATACATTCTTAGATGTATTTTAACATGTCATGGAATATCATTGTGATTTATTTGAGTAATCTCATGCCCAATCCCAAAGCATGGCTCATGATCCTTTCTTACCACCTTTTATTCATACTATTAATTGATTAATTATTAATTATGTCATATATCCATAATCCATAATTAATATGGCTAATCACAAGATCACATATCTTTTTATATTTCCTTACTAGATAACACTAGTTAATCACATACATAGTTCAAGTATACCTTTTTATTCATTTAAGAAAATATACTCATGATTAATTAATAAATTAATCTATTTTTCATTAATCATATAATATTTCCATAATCCATATTTAGTATGGATAATCACAAGTTCACATATCCTTTCATATATTCATGTACTAGATTACTCTAGTTAGTTTCATGCTTGGTCCAAATATACCTTCTTATATATTTGAGAAAAATATATTCATGATTAATTAATAAATTAATCTATTTTTTCATTAGCCATATTCACCATAACTAATCATGCATTTTAATACAATTAATAATTTCTCAAATCGTGGTTATGATTTTATTTAGGTAATCCAACGTTTCGAACCAAGAGTTACAAGACACGTAGTCGTCCACTCACCTTGAAATGACGCTAGCAAGCTTTTATCTTCTTTGTTTGAACTCTGGCGACTTTTAAATTTTCTGGCGAAAACTCCGGCGGCTCCGGTGGCTTTTCGGGCCACTCCTAGGTTTCTTGAGAAGTCTAGAACACCGTGGTAAAATTCCTAACAAGGTTTCACAACCAAAAGTGGTATAAACATCAAAACCTTCCGAGAAGGTGTTTTCCGGCGAACCGGTCTTAGTAACCTTTCAAAGCCGTTCAAGGTTAGTGTCCAACCCCTTCAATGATTAAATTACTATACTAAGGTCTTATACTAAACTTATAATCGTGTAGGATATCCACCTTATTCGTTAATAGGGTTTATAAACAATTTTGGGTAATAACTAGAAACTAAATACAAGCTGTTTTGAGAATCCAGATTTATACCTCGTGTGTTTATCTGCCCTTTTTGAGCTGTAAACACCTCGTATCCTTAATTGCAGCACCTCGTCTGAAAGCTCTCTTCAAGACCTATCTAATAACACCTCACTCAAGCTCATTGGATAATAGATGCGTGAGATATGAGGTGAACAATCTCGAGGGTTGAAATTGTACGAACTAGTTGGCAGCCTTCTTCTCTTTTCTTGCTTCCTTCTCCTTGTTCTTAGTTCGAGTAGAGCTGGTATAGATGATGTTTTTTTAGATTCTTTAACTTCCTAATTGATGCTAGGGCCGAAATAATAGGAGGATGGGTGAGTGAGATGTCCTCTTTGTCTTTCATGTATGAATGGTGTGGGGGAAAGGTTCATTTGATGACTTGATTAATCCCCCCATCATCTCAATTCATTTCCAGCTCTTCAACATGGTTCTCCTCACTTATTTGAGACCATAAGTCGTGGGGTGGCCCCCACCAATGTGGGAGGTCATCTCTTTATGTCCCAAAGTGCATTTTCGGTCCCGAAAGTTGTATTTTCCGGACTGCTTTAATTAAATTTTATTTTATCGGGTCAAATAAAATATATATCATTATTCCAATAAATATTGGCATCTATAATGAATATATATTACCCAACTTTAATTTAGTAGTCCCTGGGATTCATCTCAGGTTGTTATCTGATTAAATAACTATACCGAAAATGGGACCTCGTTTAATTGAAAGGCCAACTTTATGGCTCAATCTTAATTTACACCATCATATAAATATTATCTAGACCAAGATGAATATTATATGTGGTCGGTAAACATCGGATGGCCCCCTCCCATGTGTGGGCCCAACGTGCATTTTACTGTTCAAGTAACAGTAAAAATGAGAACACGTTGCTTCAAAAATCATTCATCATTTCTAATGACTAAATGTGCGTTTTCATATTTTGTGACACTTTAATAATTTACACTTATTTATGGATTTTCGGGACAAAAACAAATCAGTCAAACCCAATTTACATTCCTCCCCAACATTTCAGCTGAAAAATAATTTAAATTTGTGAAAATTATTTACCTGATCCGATGCCTCGTCGTAGTTAGCTAATGCCTCCTTAATCAACGCTGCCTCCTCATGAGTTTCTCTGAAGAACAAGAGGCTATCGTCAGCGAAAAATAAATGAGATATCATAGGAGCCCCCCTAGCCACCCTTATACCATGAAGACGACCAATTGATTCATGATGACGGAGCAAAGTACTAAGTTCCTTTGAAACAATTAAAAATAAATATGGAGACAAGGGATCTCCTTGGCATAGCCCCCTCTCAGAAGGAAGTAAATCAATCTCAGCATTATCAAACGGAATGGAATATGAAACAAAAGTAACACACTCCATAATAAGATGAATCCATCTCTCCTTGAAGCCCAATTGCCTCATCATGCCCTCAAGGAAAGGCCATTCAACTCTGCAATAAGCCTTACTCATATCCAGCTTCAGAGCAGTGAAATCCACCTGCCCCTATCTCTTCCTTTTCAGATAGTGTTGAGACTTAAAAGCAAGCGTGATATTGTCAACAATGAATCTTCCAGGAATAAAGGCACCCTGCTGCTAAAAAATGCAAAGGTGAAGCCATCTCTTTAGCCTATTTGCCAGAACTTTAGAAAAAAATATATAAATGACATCGCAAAGTGCAATGGGCCTCCAGTCGCCCATAATTCAGGCTTTTCCTTCTTGGGGATCAGGACCAGATTAGTATGATTAATTCTGTCAGGAAGCTTACCCAACTCAAAGACTTTTTTTTGCAAAAAGTGACAACATCAGGGCCCTGCACATCCCAATAATATTGATAAAATCCCGGGCTAAAACCATCTGGTCTGGGGGAATTATCTGGGAACATGTCAAATAAGGCCTCCTTCACCTCATCTCCACGGATAGGGTGAAGAAGGTCCTGGTTGTGATGGTCTTTGATAAGTCCGTATTTAGACACGCATTTGATGCGTGTTGGGATTGGATTTTGATGGTTTTCCTAGATTTAAGGTGTTGCAAGTCTTAAATTTAGCTCAAGTTATGTTTAACAGGCGTTGGTTCGAGTTTTGTGTCATTTGGAGTCAAAATCAGGATTTTAGAGTTCGGCACTGGTGCTTGAGGAGAAATCAGAATGAGTTGAGAAGAATTTGAGATTGATTTGAGAGCTATGGAGGTCACCAGGAGGTTTACGATGAAGATTTGATGACAAAATAGCTCTAGGATTGGCTATGAGATCAAAAGAAGATGAATGAAGCTGGAAAACGACGATCAGGATGACCTTTGGTCAATCGTTCAAGCATATCTCTTTGTAGAAGCATCCAAAGGACACGATTCAAGTTGCATATGAAATCCAACTTCAAGGGCTACAAATCATATGAAGACATCATTCCGAGAATCTGAGAGTATCAAGGTGAAAACAGATGATGAAGTCAGATGATCTCTGCTGCGATTTCAGAATGACACCTTCTACCATTTTGATCATATCTCTTGATTGGTTCATTCAAATCACATTCGGCAAGTTGGGGTGGATAGAGGACTTCATTATCTACAACTTTAATGAAGGACGTTTTGTCAAATTCAGACTAGAAAAAAGGCTGCAGAGCACGGACGCACGACCGTGCGTAAAAGGACGCACGATCGTGCGTAAAAGCCAACAACGTGGCAACTAATTTGCCTGCTACGCACGATCGTGCGTGGCAAGGTACGCACGATCGTTCGTACACCCAAGATGCGGATTTCAGCCCTTTTTTAGTCCTAGTTCAGCCCAAACTCATCTGTTTTCTATAAATAAGACCCCCATACCCATATTTTGAGGTTACGAACATTACGGAGAGGCCTAGGGATGAATTTAAAACCGTTTTTACGCTATTTTCTTCCAAGACCCTTTTTAATTAATGACAATTAATTCTTTTTATTCCAACTAGTATAGTACCCGTGCATACGCACGGGAAAAGCAGTTGATGCATATATATATACTTATGATGTAATCATATATTAAAATAGAATAGTTATTCAGAATAATTATTAAGATATATTTGCACGAATAAGGGAGGATAGTATCTAAAACCACTACATATGATATAAAAAATGTTTCTCTCACTTACTCACTTATTAGTCCGCTTATTTTATACGGAGTACTTGAAAATACTACATATGAGAGAAAGTTATCTCGCTCAATTATTAGTCCATTTATCTTCTTATACCTAAAAGCATTAGTATGGGAGAGAAAATTTTTCCGCTCAATTATTAATCCGCTCATCTTATTTTATACTTAAAAATACAACATATGAGAGAGAAAATTCTTTTGTTAAATTATTTGTTTGCTTTTCTTATGCCTACAGCTCTAAAAGTATTACATATGAGAGAAAAACTTATCCCGCTCATTTATCAGTACGCTTATCTTATATCTACATATGAGAGAAAAATACTCTCTCACTTATTAGTACGCTTATCTCCTACCTAAAACTACTACATATGAGATAAAAAATTCTCCCGCTCATTTATTTTGAGCGTAGTTTAGTTTTGCTTAAAGAGATTATGCCTGATGATATACCACATAAAATCATTCTGAATGAGGCAGAATTTTGGGTCCAGATTCATAATGTTCCTTACAGTCTGGTAAATCTTGACACTGCTAGACGGGTTGGGTTTTTTTAGGGGAATTTGTCAAACATGATGATCAACAGAGAAAAGAAAAAATAGAACCTTACATGCGGGTTAGAGTTATTATGAAGATGGATATATCATTAAAGAAGGGAACAAATTTGAAAAAAGATGACAAGAGTTTCTAGGTAGACTTTAAATATGAAAGATTGCCCACCTTCTGCTTTATCTAGTTAGACTGATTATTTTATACTTAAAAGAACCACGTACATATGAGAGAGAAAATTCTCCCGCTCAATTGTTAGCGAACCTATCTTCTTACACATAAAAATCGTGTGTATGAGAGATAGAATTATACCGTTCAATTATATTATTAAACAACTTGTCTTATCCTTAAAATAACTTAATATGAGAGAAAAGTAATCCCGCACTACATATCTAAAAGCACTACATATGATGAGAAAGAAAATTCTTCCGCTCAATTGTTAGTCGATTTATCTCATACCCTAAAAATAACATTTTAGGATTTTACATTTTTGAAAATTAAGAGTACAATAAGCTAATATCCATACAATAAATACTCAATGAAGAGTATCTTATGGAAAATTAATTGACACCACTCATTAGAATTTGCTACTTATTAATTTTGATGATTAAATTTATTTTAATATTAAATACTACTGAGTATTATAAAAAAGTGAGTAAATACTACTGAGTATTATAAAAAAGTGAGTAAATACTACTGAGTATTATAAAAAAGTGAGAGAAAATTATTCTACTCAATTGTTAGCTGACTTATCTTATACCTAAAAGAACTACATATGAGAGAAATTTATTCTCATCAATTGTTAGTTAAATTATCTTATGCCTAAATCACTACGTATGAGATGGAAAATTCAAAATCTTAATTATTAGTCGACTTATCTTATTTTATACTTAAAAGAAGTACATATATGAGAGATCGAAAACGCTTCCCTTAACTGTTAGGAAGTTTATCTTCTAATACCTAAAAGCACAATATATAAGAGAGAAAATTATTCTGTCCAATTGTTAGACGACTTATCTTCTTATACCTAAAAGCACTACTAAATATGGAAGAGAAAATTCTCTCGTTCAATTGTTAGACTGATTATTTTATACTTAAAAGAACCACGTACATATGAGAGAGAAAGTTCTCCCGCTCAATTGTTAGCGAATCTATCTTCTTACACATAAAAATCGTATGTATGAGAGATAGAATTATACCGCTCAATTATATTATTAGACAACTTGTCTTATCCTTAAAATAACTTAATATGAGAGAAAAGTAATCCCGCACTACATATCTAAAAGCACTACATATAATGAGAAAGAAAATTCTTCCGCTCAATTGTTAGGCGGTTTATCTCATACCTAAAAGCATTACATATATGGGAGAGAAAAGTCTTCCGCCCAATTGTTAGCAGGATTATGTTATACTTAAGGGGTGTTTGGAATTGAATTTCTTATAATTGCAAACCACACATCGGAGACTCATGGAATCGTAGTGTGGGGTATGATTTATTAAGAAAAAAACGGTAAAAGTAAATACATTATTGCTGCCGAATTTTGCTCTACGGTACGTTGTGAATTCATTTCACTTCAAAAAATAGCAAGCCACGTGGCATACATAGAGCAATGGAGTGAAACATGGGAAGACAAACACGTGGCATATTTTAGGGGTAAAATAGTATTTTAAGGAGCTATCTCCTTTCTTATATATAAATAGATTCTATTGAATCTTCAATTATGAATTGTGAGG